ATTGATTGGGCCGGAAACCCGAACGAAATTTTGAAGAACCCCGATCAAAAGGTAATGCAACCCCAAAGAACGGCAGAAAAAAACATCATCCCGACCATCCCGACCATCCCGACCGTCCCGACCGTCCCGACTGTCCCGAGCATCCCCACACAATCTTGATCCAGGATGATCCAGGATGACCCAGGATGACCCAGGATCGTCTTTGACGCTGATTCTGCGATGCTGATCCGAACGTTTGGATGTTGATTCCGGTGACGCTGATTCGACTCAATATTTTTTGATCCGGAAATTATTCGATTCAAAGAGAAACCTCGCCAATGATTACCTTTTTACTGTATACCTTTTTCAAAAGTGTTCTGCCTGAAATGATGTCAAAATACACTACGAAAACCAATGTGAATTCGAGAAGTGTTGTTCCCGCCTTGGCAGGTTAAATTTCCAACTTGCATTTTTGAGAATGATATAATGATATAGCAAAACCGTGCAAAAAAAATGCAAAAAAACTCAAAAAACACTACATGGCGCTGCGATGGGAGGACATGTTGCTAGGGGCCGCGCCACACCCTAGCCTTGTCTTTCGCCGGTGGCGGTCACCATTGAGGGGTTGGCATTGCTATTTCCGAAGGTGTGAATCGCAAAGTTTGTGGTGTGGTCGCTGTAGAAAAAGCATGAAAAAACTGGTTCATGTGGCCGATGTGGCATGGAAGATAAGAACGCTTGTAGCACCATGTTGGTGCATGTTCGGTGGACAAAGGTTGGTGAATGCAAATCCTCACGTGGATTTTCCGCAAGTGAACGACAACTGGACATCTTGTAGCAGGGTCATGACCTCCTTTTTGAAAGTTGATCCGCTGTCAGAACGTTCAGGCATCCCGGATACTTTTTTTGTCCTCCATCCAATTCACAACGCTGTTGTTTGGGACGGGCGCTGTCGGTACAAGTTTGCCATTGCAACGCGTGACCACCTTGAAAATCTCCGAGTTTTCCAACACATTTTTCTCCTAGGACCAAGGCCTTTTCTTTCAATTTGCACGCTACTTTGACATGGAACCTGTCACTTTTTGGAGCGGTTCTCAGAGACCCACAACAATGTTTTGGCAGTGTGACTTTTTTGGAAAGGGACGAAGGTACTTGAGTCACTTGCGCGGCCGGATTTGGATTTACTTGCGCACCCACCTCTGGACTCACTCACACTTTTACAGGACACAAAGCGCTGTACTCTTCTAGGTGGTTTATTCAGAAGCAAGGAGACAGAGCCTAGGGAACGTGAAGCAAATGGAATGTTGACAACAACTTCGACACATTCGCGCAGCTGGAACACCGACAGTCCACTGTCCCCTTTTAGGTTGTCAAATCATGGGGGCTGGAGACATGGGACATGGGGACAGGGCTTGGGGCAGTCGGGGACAAAGCATCGCACACGTTTTAACAATCTGCAAGGTGTCGCAACACGTCGTGCGGCCTTCGCGATGACACTTTCCACTATTTACATTATATTATACTATTTTGTGAACTGTGTCAATTTCTGCTGCATCTGTCTACTGAATTAATTAGTCTATTTGTTGCAGTTGGTTTCTCTGCATCGTTTGCTGTGCCTGAACTGCCAAGGCTGCTCCTGCATCGGCATTTGCTGCTGTTAGGGCAGGGCCGCTGCTGCCCCCGCTGCTACGCGACCGCGTTCTGCAACCCTCCCTCTTGCTGCTGCATTTGCATGTCCCCACATGTTCCACAAACATGTGTTCAAAAGCGATGTCCTTCCAGCTGTTCTTTTGTCACAAATCAAATATACGGCTGTTGAAACAACACAAAAGCACATAATGCCGGCGTCAATCAAGCAGAAGCAGTAGTCTCGTGGATTTGTTTTTGTGGTAGCAGTGTTTCTTTGGAAAAAAAACATGGAGACACGACACAGTGAACAGAAAAAAAACGGGAAACCTGACAGAGAATGATGACCTGGGAAGATGAACGACGTGCGTTTTCTAGCGCGCCACATCACAGTATGACGGCCGATACCCCTGCTGCCCACAAGTTCTCAATATATGATTGAAAGCTATGTATACTGCCGTGTATTCTACATTCACATGTCCCAGTCAAATTAGTCAAATGTCCCTTGCTGCCCCAAAAATCAAACAAACAAAAGACCCCGCAACATGTTCCAAAAACAACAGAGGTTTACCTCCAATCAGAGGTAAGTCTTCTCCTTCCCAAACAGCCGGCTCTCTCTTGAAAAAGTTTTGGGAGTCCGGTCAGGACTGGCCAGGCTATCTGGCCCCCCGGTTTCGGTCATTGTGCGTTGCTGACGCTTTAAGCTATGCTGTTTCGGATCAAGACAAAAAGCCAAGATGGCCAAGCTATCAAAGCTTAGCAGCTTAGCCAGGTCTGGGCGTTGCAAATTGCTTTGGACAGGTCTGGGGATTACTAGGCCTGGAGATGTTCCAGGCCAGGGTGTCAACATAATTCAATATGTCTATGTTACTGTGGAGATCACACAAGGTACGTTATTTCTCCTAACCTCTGTGACTTGTGACTCACGTTCGAACATCCAATGCCTTGAGCATTGATTCTCGGAGCGGATTGCAAGTGCTTCGAATGTACTTGGTTTCTGCAGGGCGTGCTTTTTGGAGAATATGTTTGCACCAGCCAAAAGGGATGTTGATGCCATTTCCGGTCCAAAGATGTTCTTACTTGCACAGGTCCAATGGACAAGCGTGGTGCAGGTCGAGAATTTCTAGCAGCAGGTAAGGCGCAGAGGTCTGTTGCATCACGAGCGCATGTTTCACGATCTTGATCGGTATTGCATCGACTTATGGGCATTTGAGTCAAGCAACATCCGCAAGCCCTCTACAAGAGCTATGTTTGAGCGCTGGCCGAGCCGCTGGCCTTCCAATTCGGGAAGTTGGTAGGTTGCACTGTCCATGGCGCTGGCTATTTTCTGCCTTTTTCTTGCGTGATCCTGGATTTGGGCCTAGCCAAGTGCATGTTGGTCTAGGCCTCTAGGCATGTCTAGGCGCTGCGGCTGGTTGGTTTTGACGCGTTTGGGTAGATCCTAGACATCGCCAGGGACAATTTTTCGAACGTCTGTGGTTGCGCCGGTGTCGCTTACAGTTTGGGCTAAGTCCCTGCAGTGAGGGAGATCCCCTGCTTGTGGTTAGGCGGTGAGACATCTACAAATCGTGGCCTCGAACTCTAGAACTTAGAACCAACACCAAGCCAGATTGAAGTATCTGGGAGAGGGACATTGGCAAATCTTGCAAACCTTTCGAAGATACATCGCAGCGCAAGTGACGCTGTTGTCGACGCTGTTGTCCCGACAAGACGTGTGACAATTCAATCGGCTACAGACGTTGGCGCAGGTGCTCATGTCTGGTTGGTCTGCCGGCGGCCGGCTGTGGATGTTCGTAAAGATTTCCGCTGCGCTGCTCATACGCGCTGGGTTGCAAGATTCCCAGCGCAGGGTCACTTTAGACTTTTAGACACTTTAGAACCTTTGTAAAAACTTTTTGAGTCACTGCCAGACATGACTTCTCCCCGCGCAATGTTCCAACTGCCAGTTGCATGGCCTGGTGGATCGTCCATCCAGCTTTGGTCTGCCAGACCATCTCGACCGTACGGGGACGCCATTTTGGGTGGACTTTCGTGAGACATCTAAGATCATAGCCATAGGTACAATCACTAAATATCACTAAATCACACACAGACTCAAGTATTCCAAGTATTCTCCACTATTATCCATGATTATCCTATGTTGTACTGTAATCACTGTAATCCCTTCTTTGAATGTCCATACTGTGTGAATCCATCTCTGGCTGACCGCCCAGAATGTGCTAATTCCAAGCTATGCTGAGTCTGTTGCGATGTCAGCAAAAGCAGTTGCGCTGCACACATTCAACTTCGAAACAGGCAGTAACAGGCACTGAACGTCACACACGTCGCTATAGACTGACGAACATGCTGCAACTCTCCATGCTTTCCGTGGAGTGACGAACATCACCATCCTTGGAGTCCCCAGTAGAGCCCACAGCATCCCACAGCAACAACACATTCCAAGCGAAACGTCGCTGCGGAACTTTTCCTGGAATCCTTGAGTCTTTGTCTATGTCAGCCTTGAGCTGACCACAGCTGTCGATCGACCAGGAATTTCCACAAGTTAACACACCACGCAGCCCCAACAACCCACTTTAAACTGGTGGACATTCACTTAAGACTAGAACGGGATAATTGGATATGAACTGGAGATGAACTGGATAGACCTCTACTTTTCAGGTTGACTTAAGCTCATCTTCCAATCTTGCCCACGGCTGATTGATCTCAGCCATACGGCATCCCAGCACCGAAAGGTGAACAGGGATCAAAGACACACCACTCTACGTGCAGCTGCTCATAGTTAGGAAAATGTATCGCACACCGCAGAACCATTTAAAAAAATCAAAACTAAGAGAGACTGGCAGAGAATGCAACGGCTGCGTTGGGTGAACTTCGAGCAACTGCACACTGACCTCTGACCTCTCGCATAGGCGAAGGTCAGAACAAATCACTCGAATTCCGGTCAGGCAAAGCTGAAACCGTCCATTTTTTTTCACATGGCTTCACCCCTCAACGCTTTTGCGGGTGAGCTGTCTGACCTGCATCGCTGGCTTTTTAAATCTAGGACGGACTCAAAGGGATATGGCTGGAACAGGGAAACTGTAATACCCATATTGCTATGTCACTGGAACATATGGTGAAAAGTCATGATATCTTTCGCAGAACCGATTGAATTAAGAAATGTTGCCAGTTATTGCAACTTGGTGCCATTCTACAACCTTTTTATAGTGTTGCAGCACAACCATCAAGTTTCTCGGGGAGTCAAACCTGGCTGGAAAACCAGCCTTGGTATAGGCCGAAAGGGGATGTCCCAACCAGCGGTTGACGACACTGACACTGGAGGGCCCATCAAAATATCCCATTGTTGTCCCATTGTTAATCATAATCAATCTTATAATCCCAGTCATCATTCAATCTCATTCATATTCATTAATCATTATTAACCCATGATAATCCCATGGATAATCCCATGGTTGACCTTCCGGTTGCTCGCTTGGTCGGTTGGTCGTCGCCTTCTTCTTCCAAGCGTCGTAGTCATTCTTCATGTTCACCGCTGCATCGATGTTGGCCGGCGAGTTCAGGTTGGGGTCAACCAGCATCGAGATCACCTCGAGGTCACCAGAACTCCGGGTGAATGAAGAGATCAATGGGATTACAGTAAGGGGTGAAAAAAATCACTCAAAAAATGAGATTATCGGTAAAAATAATGGATTATCCATGAGTACTACTGATTTTCATGTGGTTTTCATGGATTAATCATGATGGATGGGGGATATTTTGATGGGCTATTCATGGATAGCCAAACCGTCCAGTGTCATCATTTCCGTGGGAAATCATCCAGCTGCTGGTGGATCTTCCAGAAACCTCATGGGTTCCCAGTTCAAATGGCCACAACTTAAGGTGTCCAAGCCATTGTTTGGACAAATCCGTGTCCATTCTGATTGGTGAAACGCCAATAATTGGAGTCTTAAATCATGATATGTACCCTCTGGTAATGACTAACATAGCTATTGAAAATGACCATTTATAGTGGATTTTCCCATGAAAAATTGTGATTTTCTATAGTTATGTTAGTTTACCAGAGGGTATCATCTTAAATCCCTACTGTGACTGGTGGCAGAAAATAAAAAAAAATGACCAAGGAGAATGTCTGGTGACCTTTTCTTGTGATTCTCTAAACATGGATTCCTCCCCTTAAATCCCTTGGACCATCTTCGACCATGAAAATTACTGGACCCTGTAACCCCCATCATGGTCTGACCCTTTTCTGGGAAGCAAACATGGCGGTAACATGGCGACTGACCATCCTGATTTTCATGGGGACTTCATGTGAAAATCACCTATAAAAAATGGGGAAATGTTCCATCGGGAGCTCGGCGCTTAGCTCGGCGTTCCGACGCTGATCAGGATGCTGTGCACCCCCAGGATGGGTCGCCAACGCTCGTCCGCCGTCTCCTGGGATCATGGAGATTGACTAGATATGATATTATACATATATATCATATAGATAATATATTATAATATATATATATACATACATACATATATATATACATACATATATATATATATATATAATTATATAGTAATATTTGATATATAAATATAAACATCATCTACAATTTAACAGTTTGACCCTGAACATGTTGCCTTTTTCTTGGGCGTGAAGTCATCTTCCAACCCCCCATTTGACAGGGTCTTGATATGAATTTGCGAGAGTGTAACCACCATGAAATGTGGGTAATCACTATGTCGATGAGGATATAACGAAAAAAAAGTTGAACCAATCTGACGGAGATAGGGGTCTTGGCCGTTCGAAATTGTCTTTAGCTTTTGGACATAGGAACCTAAGCTGCAAATGATGGCTGGTTGCTGGTGAGGGATGTGGTAGACCCAATGCGCTGCCACTGCCACCCACTTTTCTTTTGGGAAGATGGAGTACTGTATGGTCTCTCTATTTGTTTACCACGTTTAAATTGAATCTTCAGCAAAGGAAGGCGATCTGTTTACACCTTTAACATGCTCAACATGTTCAATTGCGCAGAATAACAATAGTCAGCATGTCCTGAGCCAGGTTATGATTCCGCGAGATTTCGCACATGATTTGACCCTTAAAATCAGACAATCATAACATATCAAAACATGAAACTCATTACCATTATCATCAGGTTATTATAACTTATGAAACTCATGTCAAGTATCAAAGCTCATGTCATTGTTTTATGAGTCATGAGTTATGAGTTTTCTATCAGCCAGTTATGAGTTACGACCCACCAATCACCAAGTGATGCTAAATGACCCACACCAATCCCAGCAGAAAAAACCTGGTCGTTGAAGCGATCAGTGCCAGGTGGGTGAAGGATTGAGATGCAGACCTGGTGCAACCGTTCTGTTCATCTCCAAAGTCAGATCGGGAAATCAGGAAATCAAGAGAATCATAGCTTTCGATCCTAATCCTATTCATATGGGAATATCAGAGGTTTTTACCATATTCCTATGGGAAAATTAGAGATGTTGACCCCATTCATACCGGAATATCATAGATTTTGATCCTCTATGTGGAAATCACAACAGTTCGTCCCCAAAAAAAGTTCCGGCAGAAACCCCCGCTTCGGGGCGCACCCGTCCGTCGGGATAGATGTTCGGATGCCACATCTCGGTCTCAAACCTGTCTTTTTCAACGCAGAAACAGCGGAAAAAGATGGAAAAGCACCAGTTTAGCAGGGAAATATCGGTAAATTATGGTATATGATATATGTTCTATATTGTTCAATATTGTTCAATGATCATATCTGGTTGGTGGTGCAATGTGCCCATCTTGAAAAATCATAGAGTTCGTCAATGGGAAGGATGACATCCCATATATGAAATGGAAAATGAAATTCATGCCTGAAACCACCAACCAGTATGGCGATGAAAATCTCAGGTCAGAGATGGAGATGAAAACGATGACCATGACGGCTATGAGAATCTCAGGAGTCAGTGACTATCAATGAAACCTCACCAAAATGGATCGTTTGCTACAAAAAAATGCCTATTCTAAACAACCATCATCCACTAACACCTGAGGTTTCAACTTCATCTCAGGCGGATTGTTGGGAAAGTCCGGCGGAAACTTCAGAATCGCCGTAAAGATACCACCCTCATACCTCGCATGCTGTAGCTGTTAGCTGTTAGAGATGGTGCCTCGGATCCCAACTGGTGGGATTTGAGGCTTTTTCATGGGGGATCCATGGGGATCCATGGGGGATCCATGTTAGGTGTCTTAAAATGGCGGATCCATGGGGATGCCAATGTTTTTTTCGCTGGTTTCAGGTGCAAATCCGATCAATGGAAACCCGTGGCTCAACAGCAACGCCCTGAGTCTGCCACAAGCTATCGGCCGGTCCCTCAAAGACCACACGCCACGTGAAGAAATCCGAATCGTCCTCCAGGGACATGAAAGAATAGGGCAACTCATGGGGATTCATCATATGATATATGTTGTGATATCATATCCCATTATTGCTGTGATTAATATAGATATATAGGATGATATATGTTATGTATTGTTATGATATATGTGATGATTATAGATAACTAGTCATATCCCACTGAGCTTATGATACATTCTATTATGATATCATGACATGCCAACTAGTGGGAACAGCAAAAAAGAAGAATATGATACGGGACTGGGTAAGGCTGACTTTAACCAAATGGACATAAAAGGCATTAAAAGGCTATGTGGCAATGTAGTAGTCATTTTAAGGATCCAGAATCATCCACTGGAATCTGTTTTGATCCGTTTTGGGGTGGGATAATTTTGACCCACACCTACATCAAAGCGTCAACGCTTCACTCACAAAGTGTATGTTGTGTGATGATGTGTGATGTGGATTCAAAGTTTAAGTATATTAATTGTTGCGATGTGTCTTCACATTGAACAATGCAGCCAGAGGATGGCATAGATCGTCAAGGATGGAGACACGAACCAGTCATAGTGGGGAAGGAGTGCAAGCACTTGAGATGTCATTCAGGTCACTTTTATGTTTTGATTTGCACCTGTAGGCGGCGTCAAATCAAGAATTCACAGCACAACAAGCCACATTTTCTGGGTGCTTTGCCTGGATATTTCTCATGAGAAGCCAGCATTTTTTTACCAGTTGTTTCACCAGTCCCCGGCGATCCGTAGATTCCATATGTCAATGACGTCATATCTCCATTGTCCTTATGTCTGTGGGTTGTCCACGTTGAAGAAGAATTGTTTCTCGCAATCCCCAATGATTTTTCATGATGCACTCATCAATTTCTGGGTCTTAGGGGTGTCCTCTCCCAACCATATGGGGGTTCTGCAAAAATGGGGAAATTCCAAGTCCTCCAAGCCCACGGAGAACCCGCAGCTTTCATCCTGGGATCTTTGGCTGGCGAAGAAATAATTTCGCGTCACCAGGTGGCCAGCCGGTTTTCATCGTTTTCCCCATGAATTTGGGGCTATTTTTTGGGGGTATACCAAGGTTGAAACTTATGTTTGTTTTCCCCCTGTGATTTCGGATGTGCGGAAATCCAAGCCATATCGACAAGCCATTGACATCGGCGCTGGGCGGATCTGATTTTTTAAATCCCTCCATGAATTTGTGAGAGGAAGTATACACCAGTAAACACTGACCGTTTCTACGGCAGGTTTTTGAACTTGGAAAAAGATGGTGAAAAGCTGGCGAGAATTTGCTGGTTTTGCCATTTTATGGACAAAAGCCCGTCCGACACTGGGTTCCAGCCTTCATCAAGCTGACCAATTCCTTCTTGAGCAGTTCTCGCGCCACATGCGCCATGGTTGCCTGCCGGAGGCCATAAACAAAGAAACTGCAACGTGTCAGTGATGTACCAGTGTCAAGCAGCGTTGAATAAAAAACCTCAACTTCTTTAGACCAGGAATGAGAAGTGTCGAAATGTGATGAAATGTGATGAATTTGCCACTTGACTTGCCACAGTCCCAGTCCCAGCCTGTGCTGTACACCAAGTGGCCGGAGAACAAACCTTGAGCCCAGTCGCTTCATCGCACAAAACGTTGGAACGAGCTTCGCCAACCGAAAAGCCTCCTGACCAAACCAATCAGATCCAATGAGGCTGAGTCGTGCAGTATGGTCCCTTCGTGGTCGCAAACTGAAGACTGTACAGTGGCACAAATCGGTGCTGGAAACCGCAGCAGGAATTGAAGTGCTTCAAACGCAGCCATAAACAATTTGATATGGGTTTTTTTCTGTCCATAGCTATGAGTCTGATAGCCCAAAATGGCAGCGTCAGTGGGGGTTTTATGATTTGATTCCCATTGGATTTCGGGGTACCCTCTGGTAATTTAACATAACTATGGAAAATCACCATTTTCAATGGGAAAATCCACAATAAATGGGGTATCCCATGGCTTCAACCCCTACCAGACATCCCAGCAAGTTGCATCGGCTCCCTTTCGGCTCAACTTTCCGACTCCTAGCTGCCTAGGACTCTCCTAGCGAAAAACGGGGATCGACTCAGCACTCGCATTCTGCAGCAGTTTCAGATAAGTTATCCGATAACTCATCCATCACCGATGTGGATAGCATTCGATGCTATGTGATGTCATGATGTCATATTGAGTCATAGTGGAATATCATAATTACTCATAATTGTGTAGAAGTTATACACAATTATGAGTAATTATGATATTCCACCACGAACATATAGTTATACAGTATAACTATAGACTATAATCACAATCATGTGATAAACAAATGACACTGCTCCGCGAATGTTGATCTTCAACCCCCTCCCACTGCCCAACACAGGTCCGCGACAGGCCTCTGGCCGAAGAGGACACAGATAGGCGTGGATGAAAAGGCCACGCTGTTGGATAGTTTCGGATGTTTCCAGATCGTCACGCATTGCAACATTTGCTGTAATGTGGGAAAAACAATGCCATAAACCACCCATGACTGGGAATACTGTAGTTTATACCACCTATAAAAAGGGTGATGACTGGGGGATTGTTTATTCATTTTTACCCACATTTCCCATGATGTTCAAAGTATTCTTGAGGGGCCTGGAACCCAGGAGACCGCTAGATTAGGCGTCCTGATTGCCCAAAGCTCAACCTGCGGTAATATGCGAGGTAGATGATATTTGACTGACGTCAAGACATGCGGTGTTTTCATATCGCCTGCAATATAGCATCCCAAATAGCCAAAGTCTCCGCATAGCTATGTAGCATTCATCTTGAAGGTTGGTGAAAATTGGAGGGGGCCTGGAAAACGGACTCAAAAATCATCTAATTGGTGTCCCTTTTCAGAGGGAAACCACTGGTCTTGAGCTACCCTATTCCAACACCCAGGACCAGATGCAGAATTGGGGCCGCTGGCAGTTTCCAGACTTAGACTGGCTAGGGCTCAAAAAGTGAGGCACCACTATAAGACTAAGCCCACTCACTTGTCATTGTCTTCAACCATCCCGTGGGGATGCATACTTAGAGTCTAATTAGAGCCATGCAAAAATTAATCTTCTGCCAGCAAAACCATGTAGCGTAACGGAGGATGATCATACATTACGACCAGGTTGACCTGCCGGAAAAAAAAAAAACAGACTCTGCCATCTCCGAATCTATCTCCGTCTGGCCAACTGTGCTAATTAGGGCTGAAATCTGCTTGAATCATGAAATCATCAAATCAGATTCAGATTCAGCAAAATCAGCAAATTTCAACAGTCACTTCCCTCTCAGCCAAGGATGATTTAAAGCTGCACGAGCGGAAGGGCTTCGATCCTGAGGAACTCATCCAACAGATGGCTCTTGGCTCAAGTGACTCAAGATCCGATGGAAACTGGGACATCCAGGACATCCACACCGGTCACCCCATAAATCATACTAAGATATACTATGATATACTAAGGTCATCTGTCTATAATTAACATTAATTAAAATATTATATATTTAATAACCACCAGAAAATGTCATTGATGACATCCACACCCGTCATCAAGGACCTGTTTCTGGCTTCCCAACCCCCCTCGGTTTTGGTCCGGCCTCGGGCTGAAACGCTAAGAGCTGCTGGCATAAGTCTCGGGCCTGCGGAAAGCTGGGCCATGGCTCACACTCAAAGTCGATCTTTGCCTCACCGCTGGCAGAGGATCTGTGGTCATAAAAACCATGGGATATCATGGGATATGGGGCCCCTGGTCACCCATGCGAATCTTTATAGTGGGTAAAAATGTCATTCCCTATGAAGGGATTGATGACGATTCCCAAAGATTGGTCGTTGACCCAAGTTTTGACCATGGCACCTAGCCCTCCCCAGCCCCCAGCCCCTTCTTTTTCTGCATCTGGTGGCATTGACCGCAACCCATCGATTGACTTTGAGCCGACGTGGGTCAAGGGCTTCGAGGACTTTTTGAAAGCCCTGGAAACCAATGCGTCTTCGGGAAGACAAGAGAGTCACAAGATTAGCAACGGAGGTCCAGAGTGATGGTCTTGCTGTTGACCCAAGAGGAACTGTTGTCAACCTGCATGAATCACGAGAACATTAAGAATATAGTGACCATAATTGGATATAATTGGCATGTTCCTCTGCCACTGATGTCATTCATATCATGTTCTGCAGCTGAAGCTTGCTGCCAAGTTGCGCAAAGCCAGTATACTCCTGGCTTCGTGAGGTGATTCAATGGTGAATCAATGATGAATGGATGGTCCAATGGATGGTCCAAAAATCAGTGGCCAAGGGAGCCAAGTTCCAAGTGACGCCCCCTCGGGACGCTCCTTCTGCTGGTGCCTCATACTCACTGGTGATAGCTTTCCGCAAGAACAGCTTCTCCTTCCAATCTATGCAGAAGTGAATCGAAGATAGTTTTCAAGGACGGAACAGTCTAGTTTCAGTTGAAGATCAGTTTCACTCACCACTTTCAAGGGATGTCCGAAACTGCGAAGGAATCCTCGGCAATGAAGGCCAGCTCTTCTTGGGTAGACTCATCCTGGCACATGAAAAATTCGGTCAACATTCCACTGGCAACCGCTACCCGCTACCCGCTGGATACCTCGGGTAGAAAGGCGCTGTGAAGCAGCACATCTGGACCATCTTCCAGGATGGCAGTCCTCAGATTCGAAAATCACAGCGAGGCTGCGAGAAGTCGATGGAGAAAAGTGTTGAGGCACCGACCACTCCACCTTTTGACCTTTCTGCAGCCATCTGGAAAGGAATTCCTGGGTCAGGATGGGTCAGGTGTGCAGATCTTTGGCGCAATTCTGGTGGACACAAGACAGTCGGAGACAACGCAGCAGGAAAGCACAAGACTGGGAGACAAGGCGGCAGTGACAAATTTGAGAGAAAACCCATTTCAGAAATCGGCAATTCATGAATTAAGAAGTAAGACCCCCTATAGCTCTTCAGCTATCTGGGGAACATCTCATTAAACATCTATTGATATCTATTGCAAGATACTGCGACCACCAGCCCCCTTGCAGATTTTCTCTTCGGCATTCCGCCAATGCTGCCGTGTCACATTGCCACCACTGGGCAGCAGCAGATGAGACCAGCTCAGATGACCACAACTGACGTCCACCAAAGAATGGATGGCTCTTGCCTCCATCAACCCGGCGATGTCCTTCAAGTCTCATTTTGTTGGCTTCAAGATGTCTCAAGATGTCTCAAGATGTCTCAAGACGTTTCACGACTCAAAAATGTACACGGACAAGTCTGACGTTCTGGTGGTGTTTCTCATCACCATGGAATGACAGGAATCCGAGGTCCTCAAAGGGAATTCCAGTTGCCCGGACTTTGATTTTCGCTTGCATTCTCTCGTTCAGAAGAGGCGAGACGAAGTTGAAAAGCCTCAACTGCGACGGAATGTCCGTTGAATCTGCTGAATCTGCGATGTTATCACATATTTATATATATATATAGTATATATGTTGTATCTATATGTTATATATATATGTATATGTATATATATATATATCCCAGCTCATGGATTATAATTCATCATATACTTGGTGGATGTTGGTGGTATAACCCGGTGTCGAAGACTGCTCGTTTGTGGCAAGGCCCCAAGTGCAAATGAGCTTCCCAGAGAAGCTGGACGTGGAGTTCAAGACAGCTACCTCATCCCCAGTGACAAATCACTTGAGTCTGGAGCTTGAGAGGCAACTTTATCTGGGTACAACATAATTATCACCAGGTCATGATAATAATCATCACCAACTGGGCAATTACTTCAGTCATACACAATTCTGGGTAATACATCCTCTGAATCTTGGTACAACATCTTGAACTAGTTGAATCTTGGGAGCAACTAGACTAGACTCACTCGACCCAAAAAATCTCTGCCTGGTGAATCATCTCTGGATAGAAGTCCTGGACCACGCTCAAGATGTTCCTCAGACGAGCGACGTGCAGCATCACTTGCATCTGCGGGTAGGAATCCCCCCAGAGTTGGATAACCAACAATGGGTCGGGAAAAAGAGGTAAGTAGGTCCATCAATTTGGGATGACATCATGTTTTCTCATTTTTTATAGTGATAATGCCTACAAAATGCCAGTTTAGGTATACTCCGTTTCTGGACATGTCCATATGTGTCCCCGTATTGTTGATGATATCCCCTTTTTTATCCAATTAAGTCATATCCCCACGGTTCATGATAGTTCAGTTCCCCCATCAAAAGTGCAAGTTTCTTCGACCCAAGCATCTCAACAGCCATAAAATGATGTGACAATGCCAAGTGTCTTGATCTTAGAGAGCTGATTGGCGCCTTCGGAGAGCAGAGTAGTGATGGCTGCACCATTCATATCCCTAACCTGCACGAGTTGAACGAGTCGAGTCGGGTTCCACTGGTGAGTCGCTTCCTAGTTGTCACAGTGTCGCCGGTAGTTCTTTTTTATTGCAAAAATAATCCTTAAAATGTAATGTAGGTAAAACAATCATAAATCATCCATTTAAAAATAAAATGGTTGATTATTGTTTTAACATGTTTTAACCACCTTATAAGTATTAAAAACATCCAATGATTCACCACCTCACCGAAAGAAAAACCCTTTCGACCTCGAAGTACTTCACCATTCGGCGCCTGAACAGCCAAGCCATGGATGAGCTCTGATGCTGATGGTTGAATTGGGGATTACCAACAACAAAAAGTGGTAAAATGGTGATTTTAACCAACAGCCATGGCAGCCATGGTATGTCCTGGGAATATCTTGAAACATATTGGCAATCATTCACATACACTAGGTTTGTATGTATGTGTGCAAATGTGTGTTCATTCACGTGAGCTCCCATCAAGATCCTTTACATTTCAGTATTTATCGCTTTTGGGGGGCTATCGGCTCTCGCAAAAAAACAGTGTTTCGTGCACATCTCTGACAAAAGCTTCTGTAATACTGGAGTGGTCTTCAACCATTTTGACCATAACTCATGTGTGTATGAACCGTATGTGCGCATGTCTCGTTGGGTATATGCTGGGTCCAGATATGAAGTCAAACTACAGTGTGTGGACTCTCGTGCCTTCGATAGGCTTTGGGTTGAAAATCAACCAAACCCCTCAATTTCATGTATATGTTACCCATGGGTTTTCATCGTTTCCCCATGGTTTCCCCATGGTTTCCCCATGGTTTCCCCATGTTTTCCCCATTTTTTCATGGCCAAAAAATGGGGGCTAAACCAAGGCGTCAAGGCACTGCTTCCTGCTGAGATTATGAAGCACCATCCATCGCTGCTCCAGCTGCGCCAGCAGAAAGTCGTCCCCTCAGGGCGATCATCATGGCTATCTTTACACCAAAAATTGGGGGTAAATAATAATAGCCACAATTGATGAGTTAGTAATCTATAGTTAGTAATCTACTTATCTACTAATAATTGATGGCTATCTATCATCATATGATAATTGATAATCGATAATAATGATGATAGTTAGTAATCTATAGTAATATAGTGTAATAATCTATATGATGATAGTAAATATGGCTATCATATGATGATTAGTTAGTAATCTATAGTTACTCTACTAATAGTTAGTATGGATGGCTAGTATAATGTCTGTATAGTTGATCAGTTGGTTAAAATAGTTAGTAATCTACTTGTCTACTAATAATTGATGGCTATCTATCATCATAACTGATGATTAGTTAGTAATCTACTAATAATAATTGATCAATATTGATCATTACTAACCTTTTTTTTAATTGATCCATCATAATTTTCTGGATCCAGAGAGAGATCTTCAGAGATCTTAAGGGCATGAACATTTCATGAACATCTAATATGTAGTCTAATAGTCTAATGAGTCGAATGTTTAATATGTTGAATGATTTTCTGAAAGTGCCCTGAAGCTGCAATTTTTTAGGTGCAAGCATCACCATGTTGATGAGTTGTTCCTTACCCTGCCCCCTTTTTCCTATGCACATCCACTTCCAACACCTCGGTGACCCTCAGCCACTCTCCCAGTTGCAGAGCTGCCAAGTGGCTCGCTCCATCACCATACTTAGCCGCGGTTTTTTCAGTGGAAGCTGGGTTTGGATTACTCTTGGATTACTGGAAAGACTCCATTGAGGGAAGACTGATGCAAAACCACCTATGTGTACTTATGTACCAGTTGCTCTTTTCGCCTGAATGGCACGTTGTAAATTTAGCCAAGCAGCCGCTTCCAGCGTCTTGAAATCTGTCAATCGAACCTCGATCAAACGCTTTCGTTTTCAGCAACAACATCAGAATTGGCCTAGTTAAAAATTCGGTGAATTCAAAATATGTGGTTCAGCACGTTTCGAAAAGCTCAAAATCAGAGGGCCGAAGTGTTTCCAAAAAACCGACAGCAGCGGTCTTTGTTCCAAACCCTGTGTCGCCCTTTATACAGGTTGGTTGGTAGCGATTCCCCAGGGATTGTAATATTCCCCATCGGTTAGTACAATCCCCGAACTAGTTGTCAATCAACCAGGGCTTTGAACAGTGCTCAAAATATGGTTTTGTGATGCACCAGTATTGCGTATGATAGGTTTGGAACCCATCAACATATCTGGCTTTGTCCATGTTTCTCCAAAAACCAATGATACCCCCAAACCCCATTGGTTTAGATCAGAAATCACCCTACTTCAATGGCCATCAATCCTAGTACCCTCTGGTACAGCCTTGGAAAATAGT